ATAAAGACCGACCATATTTGAGTGCTTGTGCTCATGCACTCTATTCAGCAGCAGTAGGTCACTCTCATAAGACGACCATGGTCCCATTCAATCATCGGCTTATGCTTGGCAAACCTATTTGGAAATTCTAGAGCACTGAACAGATGCACAACACAACCTTGTCTATGCACTCGATATGAACCAATTAATAATGACACCCACTCACCCGCATGGCTTGCCCTTGGTTTGGGTCCTCAGCGGGCAGCTGACCCGACATCATGAGCTGGTCCAGCCTCTCTTTCTGTTGGTACTGGTTCACCTCATCTGCGATGACATCGAAGATGTCTTCTGCAATATCACTCCTTGTGGGTGCAGGCATCGCAGAATCGGCTGCCTCACAGAACAGCTTCACATACCGCCTTGAATTGTGTTCCACGGACTTCGAGAATTCAGGGTCTGATTCCGCAAAGAACTGCAGGAGACCACACCAAAAAGCAGGTTGGGGGCATGGAGGGTCTGGCTACTCACAGCTGTGGAATTCCAGGGAACAATTGGCAGCATCCCAAAGTTTGGGAGCACGCTGCCATTTACTGCAAATCAAAATGCCCCAAACTCAATCAAGGGAAACAAGAATTCGCCTGCACAATTGATGCCAGAAACTGCTGCCATACGCTCTGCTACAACAGCGGAATTACTGACATTGAACAAACGAGTGTTCATACTCTGTATGAGCACGATGTGCCTTGAGGTTCATGATATAAGTGTCCATGACTGTCAACATTCATCAAGGAAAGAAGTCCTGTGCTGTGCCCCTGGTGCACTTGTTTGGTCGTTTGGGGTAAAACTCTCCAAAATTTGCTACAGGTTTTGCCCCAAGTGTATGTTTTCTTGCTATTCATGCCAAAACTTGCTGCTCCTGCTGCAGTCAGCGATTTCCACACTGGTTTCTGCACTATGGCACAGGATGTCAAGGCAAATTTTGAACATTAGAAAAGGTCCATTTGCATTCTGTTCTTCCTTTTGAAAAGCACACAATCTCTGGAGGGTCAGGGAGGGGAAGAGAAACAATAACAAGGTAGCTGCCACCAGCCGAAGGGCAGCACTGTGATGTAATGCACATGGCATGAAATTGTGGAGACAGAGGTCTGGTGGGGGTGGTGACCCCATCGATCACATCGCGAATCCAGCCAACACAGAGAACTGGCATCCTTCAGTCGATGTCTGGCATGTTGAGCAGAGGCACAACACTGTGGATAGGTGGATCCTGTTTGGTCTCAAGAGCATTCGTCTTTTGACAAGGCCTTTCTGGGCTTTTACATATTTTTTGGGAGCAACTTCGGCCCAGGTGTAGCTCACCTCATGGAGGTCGTCAAGGTAGATGTCCAATGTTTTCTGCTCCCGATTGGCAATGTTTTGCTGCATGACACAGGCATTGCCAGGGATAGATCAGCATAGCACTTCAAATCGCGATCGTTACTTGCTGTAGCTCTACAAAGAATGCCCCAAAGTGAAACTGCCTTTATTGGCAAATCAGTGCCCTTGCACCATGAGGGCAATGATGCACAACCATACAAGGCCAGAGATACTTCAGTTGGAAAGAATTGTGGGGGACAGGTTGTTCACAACCTGTAACGTGTTGTCTTGAAGCACGTGGGCAGCGTTTGGCTATTCTAATTAACCTGCGATTTGTACTACTTCATCCGGGCATTTTATTGTCATGTTGCCATTGGTTGTAATGTTTCACACGAGGGAGCATGGACCAGAGAAGCCCGAGGCACTAAGCTGCAAGCTTGATAACGGTGGGCAGGAACAGCAGTGCTCAGCATCGCCAAAGATCACCCTTTCCCTTCCAGTTGCCCAGAGGGATGCACACATGGGCGTATGTGTGGACAAATCTGGCCCTTTTCAGGCAACAAGTTCCTGGCTCCGAAACCATATCAGGATCAACGAACCCCTTGGACATGCTCGCGCACGGTTGCTCCCAAGCACGGGAAGCAAGGTCATAACCAGACTCGTTGCAAGACAAGCATGTCAACCAAATAGTGTTCAAGGGAAATGTTCCCAGTTAGCGATCACCGTTTCCATATTCACCGTGTTTTTGTCACCGTGTTTACTGCGTCCAATCACCGCCTATTTCACATCAATCCCCCTATAATTACTTGCCATAATTTCCTTGCCCTCACAGACACATTTGGCGTTATGCCGACTATGGATAGGTGTTCATCTTCCTGGTTTGCGGTGGAGCAACAACAACACATCGGCACCTTCAAGGCTCTTGGATGGTTCAAATGGTAAAGGGCCGCAAGGAAGCCAAGGTCAGATTTACTTGGCAACCAGCAGCATTCTTCTTGCCCCTGTTTGCATATGGTGCGAAGGGCAGGGATGCCGGCCCAGACAATCATCTGCATCACCCAAACACGCTAAGATCTACGATTGCAGCCGCCGGCGCTCCTCATGTGATGTTTCTGAACGGTGAGGTCTCACAAACGGCGTCTTTGGCCAGCATCAGGAGCAACTGGCATCCCGAATGTCATGGTCTAGGACTGAGCGGCGTCCCTGATCAAACAGCCACACAGGTGCGTACGGCAGTCCAGAGTGTGGGGAGCGCACCAGGGCGGCTTGGTACTTGCGTTCTGTCGCTCCTCCTGCGCCAGCCGCCTTGAATCCCTCAAGGAACTCCCTGCACTTCTCTGCGTGGCCCGGACACCACAAACAACGGTCAGGCGGAGGACGGCAGGCAAGGGCGTTGGGCACCCGGGAGGGGGGCTAGGCTGCTTAGAAAAGCGAGGGGGAATTCGGGACCGGGCAGACGAGGCACACATCCGGCGGGGAAGAAGAGGCGAGAGAACAAATCCCAAAATCCGATCTTGGTCGGTTGCCTGGCGGAGGCGCGGCGCATCGACGTCAGGAAATTGATGGAAAAGAAGAAAAGAGCCAAAGAGAAAGCGCTGGGAACTGGAAGGCGTCGGATGCCCTAGGAGGGATGCGCCGGGCACCCGCCCCGGCGATGTCATCGGCACTGCGGAAAATCCCATGGCTCCGAGTAGTCGCCCGCGCCATCGCCTCCCAAACCCCGCACGCGGTCGCCCATCCCTCCCAGGCCACCGCCTCCCGACGCTGCCGGCGACCGATCGGCCTCCGGGTTGAGAGCGCCGCATCCGACGGCCCCATCCGGCGACATCCACTCAGTGAACCGCACCCCGCTCGGCGTCAACGTCGGGCAGGAGCTGCGTCATGGCCGCGCCGAGCCGAGCCGGGCGTTCGGCCGGTAGGAATCAGGGATCGGGGGAAGGGAAGCAGTCGGGGAGAGCAACTTGGGTGCGGTCGAACTGGAGGGGACCCAGAGGAGCCGGGGTTGTGAAGGGGCTGTGGGAGGGGGGAGCTTTTGGCGGGCTTTGGGCGCCACTGGCGGAGTGTCGGGCATGGGAGGGGAAAGTATCTGGCAGCGATAAATTAACCCAATCACCAAAATTTGGCGGAATCTCGTCACCATCGCCACGGAGGTAGGTCCCGGCGCGGTCCAGGCGGGTGGAACCAGTGATGTCAGCATGAGCGAAGGGCAATGATGCAGGGCGTTAATTGAGTCAATGGCATCAACGTGTGGCCCTCGTGCTCAAGGGGATGGGCTCCAAGAAACACTCCGCTGCCCTGTTGATCCGTTGCCGCACACTCAGGCCTACAGGGCCCCCCGCGGGGTTGACACCCTCCACCCTGCCGTCCTTCTTCAGCGGTTGTAGACGTTTGTATACAGATGTGCTTGGGCTGCATGAGTAGTGGAGATGCGCGAACGTGGAGCATCGCCTTGCCTAACGTTGCGGGTACTACATTCTGGGCGGCCGCCGCGGCTGTTCGCCACGAATGTTCAGCATTCGGGACCCTTGATAAGGGGTCTGGTACAAAGTTGACTCCAGCAGATTCAGGCAGTTTGTCCTTGATGTTTTCTTCAACAGACCCTCCGTGCCGTTCAGCTCCCCTCCTTTGGGCACCAAGTCGACCAAACGGTGCAACGCGCACGTCGTCGCTTCCACCGGGCCACTTGCTCAATTAGAGAACCATTTCTTCCTCCCTACAAGTCGTGTCCATTGTGCACCACGGCAGTCACCACCGCATAGGCCATGACACTCGCATGTCCCTCCAACAGGCAAGCCGTAGCCGCCATATTGGGTTATTTTGTGTGTGGATAGGCATCCGTTGGCTCAGCGTTGTTCAACGAAGGCACTGGAGGGCGCAAGCTTGCGTTATCCAAGAAAGAATGTGTGCAGAAGCAAGCCGCAGATCGAGACAGATTGTGGATGGCAATGGCGTTGTTTGAGGTGGTCATGTGGTCGCATGGGCTGGCCCTGCAGTACGACATCGCGACTTCAACCCTTTTTTCGCCTCGTACCCCTTGTGGGAATGGTGTTGCAATTCTGTGGCAACCAGTTGTCGCCCACATAACGAAGGGTGTGCCCCGTGATCAGCGCAAGGCGCCTTGACGCCTGTTCGTTGCACCCCCATATCCAATCCCCCCCTTTCCGCTCAGCTCCAGACAAGCGAATAGAGGGTAAGATGAGTTCGCAACATTTGTTTGTCACATTTGGTACATCAGTACGTACATTGCTTGAGGAAAAAGATGGAGATGCGGCAGGGGCCGCCCTGGCGGCCGCCAGGCATGCGTTTTCTAGAGTGCAGCCAACACACAACCGGAGGAGCCGGTCGATGAGATAACGCCCTGTCTACAGTCCCCAAAGAGCGCCATCTGGCCCCCCTTCACCGGGGCCACCCCATTTCGCTCCCGTTCGCCCTACGGGGAACGGAAAGGGGCACGGCGCCCCCACCCCGCCAAAACTTGCCGTCAGAACCCGCCCTCGCGCCAATGCCAGCTACACGCCGCCAAGCCGCCCTGGGGCAGAAAAAACAGACATCGCCGAGTCCCTTGGGGCCCAAGAGCTTCACATCCCGCAAGGAGAACACCCTGGACCACGCTGCACACAGGCACAAGTGCAAGACGCGGATCGGGGCGGTGCAAAAGCGCCGGCACCTCAGACGACCGTGTAGCCGCAGGGGCAGGCCTGGTAGCAGTCGACTGACACGTAGGCCTCCTTCGCCAGGCACTCGTTTTCGTAGGTGTTGCCGTCGTCGCCACACACCGGGTTGTAGTCGTAGCCGCAGCCGGCGCATGGGCACTTGCCGGGGCACTCCACCTCCACGCCCGCGCACTGGGCCTCGCACTCGTTGTTGTAGGAGTTGCCGTCCACGCCGCAGACCTGCGGTTTCGAACAGATCTGGTGTCACCACAAAACCACAGAAAACGGCATTTCGACGATCCTAGTTGTGGCGCCATTTGACACTAATTGATCCCGTCACAGCTTTTTTTACTGCCATCGCAGCCACTGTGCTGCCGTCTCTTAGCGTCAAACAAAATGGCATTGCAGATGGCAGCACAAAATGGTGTTTGCTGCAGGTGTGTGTGGGATCATTGGCCGACATCGCCAGTTTATGGTGCAAGGGCTTCTGCTTTGTCTTTTGGCGAATGTAACTACAAAGGATTCGCACCTCGGCGTAGTCCTCGTCGCAGACACATTTGTAACAGGGGCAGGGCGTGTCGCACTCCTTCTTCACGCCGTAGCACTTGGCGGTGCAGCAGTTGTCGTACGTCTTGCCGTCCACGCCGCACACCTGGGTGACGGGATTTGGCGGTCAGTGGGCACAAGTCAGTTAGGGTGAGAAAGGAACGGGGTTGGGCGGGGCGCATTACTCCTGGGCGGAGCCATGGGATGCAATCAGCCGAGGAGGGAGGGAAGGAAGACCGATTGTGGGTCACGGTCTGCCAGCGAATTCATCAGCTAGAGGTACCGGTACGATAGGCTGGGAAAAGTCGAGGGATCGCGCAACACTAGAGAAGCGCGACATCCCTTTTTGCCGCCGAAAAGAAAGAAAAAGAGAGTTGGGAATGATATGGATGATGACTGGAGTGGGAAGGCCGCCTCCGCTGCGTTCCTCGTTCCCGTCCTCGGGCTCACCAATTCCTACCGTAATATATACAACCCTTCCGCATAGTAACGTAGTGCTTGGCCTTTTTCTGGCGGAGAAAATAAATCAGGTTCTTTTACCATTTTTTTGCGGAGAAACGTAAAAAGAATAAAAAACGCTCGGAAAAAACTGTGGGCAAAAAGCGTAACGGTAGAATTGTTTCAAAGGGGAATGGTTGAGTATACCACGGTACCCTCCCCCCGCCCCTCCCAAGACACTTGCAAACCGCATGGTGACTGAATCGACGCCACCCGTTCACCCTGGATTGTGCATTAATTCACGCATTGATGGATTGCATGTGTCCGCGACGACGACGCAGAGCCCAACTTTGCCGTAACACGTCGTGGGACAGTCTGCATCAAGGGGACAATCTCTGCGCCGTTAAAAATGGTGACCAAGAAAAACGTGGGAAAAGGGTAGACGCTGATGCAATATTGCGTGTAAAGTATCGTTGATGCAACGCCAAGCATTGGTGCAGCAAGGCCAGTGCATCCGCACTAGCGCAACTTTTGCACACATGTCAGCGCTTGTCAATATTTGACATTTGGGCAATTGCCAACGCGTTGCTCGGAATCGCAGCCACAATGTCGCATCAACAGCTACCGTTCTTTCAGATACTGCTGTTTTTAAACCCTTCCGCAAAGAAACACAACGCTAGGTCCTTTTTGCGGCGAAAAAGCGTAGTGGCAAAACTCTTTGATGCAGATGGGTTGAATATCCTACAGTAAAAGGCAGCAAGAGCTCCCACCTGCTGGTCGTCGTAGTCGCAGTCGCACTTGGGCGGGCAGGGGCACTTCCCTTCGCACTGCACCTCCACCTCAGCGCAGTCCGCCTCGCACTTGTTGGCGTACGTCTCGTTATCAACGCCGCACACGGGCTTGTACAGCGCCACGCAAATGCAGGGCTTCACGCAGGGGCACTCCCCCTCGCACGCCACCTCCACCTCCGCGCAGTCCGCCCAGCACTGGCTGTCGTATGTCCGGTTATCGACGCCACACACAGGTGCGTCGTAGGTCGTGGGCTCGCACGTGCACGGACACGGGCACTTCCCATCGCAGTCCTTTTCGACGTACTCGCAGGTGGCCTCGCATTCGTTCGCGTAAGTCTTGCCATCCTTTCCGCAGATCTGGGAGTAGTCCGTGTCCGGGCAGCCGTCCGCGCAGGTGCACGGACACTCGTGGTGGCAGTCGATCTCCACGCCGGCGCAGTCGGCCTCGCAGGTGCTGGGATAGTCGGCGCCGTCCACGCCGCAGACGGGGGAGTCGTACTTCTCGTCGCACGTGCACTTGTAGCAGGGGCATGGCGCGTCGCACTCCTTCTCCACGCCGTAGCACTTGGCGGTGCAGCAGTTGTCGTACGTCTTGCCGTCCACACCGCACACCTGGGCGACGGCATCGGGCGGCCTCAGCGGTTGCTGCCGACGCCTTTGCCGAAATCGCGCTGTCGATTGGGTGGCTTGCACTTGTCTGGCTCTGGGATTCAGGTCACACAGCCAATGCTACCAGAGGCTGCGGCCTTAGGAACAGGCCCACAGTCGCTTTTCGCTGGCTACAACGGACAACAGGTGACGCTGTGGCACTCTCCACTTCAGAAGACAACATCAAGCTGCTGCTAGCAAGTGACAAAATTATGCATATCAAACGAGGAAGCATATGATCAGATGATTCATTGTACCAGCAATGTGGTTAAACGATACCGACTGATTAAAGGACGCTTGCATGTATGCTCCAAGGGGTCGCGCCACGCCTGAAGAATGTTGTGAACCTCCCTTATTGAAGTTGGTCCAGGGAAGTTCGCGAAGAGGAAGGGAGCATCGAAAGCAACACTCCAATCAATTGCAGGCGGCGCAGCGGAGATATGCAAGGAGCCGCTGCAGGTCTGACGGCTCCTCAGAATAATTTTGTTCCACACAGTCGAACACGACAATTGCGCGTGAGACTAGAAAGTTGCCGACTCTACCAGATCCAATAGACTTCTGGCTGTACACAGTGCTGTGCAAGCGTTGATCTGCGCAAAAGAAGCCTGAGTTTATTTTGCAACGCGTATCGCGCTGTCGACAGGGCATTGTCGTTCAACAAGACTGCGAAAGGCGCGCAAGCAAACGCCGGCAAGGCCTCACCTGCTGGTCGTCGTAGTCGCAGTCGCACTTGGGCGGGCAGGGGCACTTGCCCTCGCAGTCCACCACCGCGTACGCGCAGTCGGCCAGGCACTGGTTCTCGTAGGTGACGTTGCCCGCGCAGACAGGCTTGTAGTCGTAGGGGCAGACGCACTTGTCGCACGGGCACTCGCCGTCGCAGTCCACGTCCACATAGGCGCAGTCCGCCTTGCAGGAGTTGCCGTACGTGGAGTTGTCCTTGCCGCAGACGGGCTTGTAGCACGTGGGGCACTTGTCCTCGCAAGCTGCACGCCAGCAGAAAACCAACTGATGGGCTTCAATGCTGCACTTCTAAAAGTGCGCTTCAAACTGAAGTGCGTGCAACACGCGACATGTTGCGTCGTGTTCCACCGATTACATACTTGCCACCACAAGACGCTACAGGCCCTTTCACCAGGCTGGCGATGTCGGACGGAGAAGTCAAGCACAGCGTAACATGCTGTGTGTCACGGTAGCTGTTGGTGGGAACTTGAAAGGTGCATTTGCCAAATATCGCATGCGCACGGTTCGCACTGTTTACGCAGTCTAGCACTGAACAGGCAGTCCATGAAAATTTTGAACATAGCGCAAGTGAACGCGATGTCTGAATGACTGAAAGTGTGCGCTTATACAAAGTGGACGCGGGGCACGCACTCAGTCGAAGGAATAGGGCAGCAGCAAACATGGCATAGCGTCTTTTGGAAATACGATACGTCCCTGAGGACAGAGGCGGATTGCGCGGCCAGAACTCCTGCTATCCCTATTCCAAGATAGGCACTGGGCAGGTGAGGGCAGGTGTGCGCAACTGCCCTGCGGCTGCGCTGGAGCGCTGCGCTGCGCCGCTGGACTGATCTAAATTCAACTCACATGGCCGCATATTCTTCCGAGAATTTGGCCCAAAAGCCCGCCGTGGGAGAATAGTGCGCTCGCGCAGCGACCAACCCGCCATGAACGGGCAATTGACTAGCGCCCTTCGGCGGCCTGTTCCCTCCGTCTGCCCGCGGCAGGCGCATCCCGGCTAGGATTCTGGAGGGCGGCGCCCTGCACTGAACAGCTACGGTTGCGCTCTTCGGGCTCCAATACGTGTACGATACCTTGGCCAGAATGTCACTGACCCTGTGCCGGCGACAGCCCGACACACAACCCACAACCCAACGGCCAAGCGCCGGTCTCTGACCGCTTGGCGTAACGGCGGGTCCTTGCGGCTCGCTGGCGACCGCGCGCTTCCTCCCCTAACTTGCGTCCCAGGTGGCAAGGCCGGGAGTCCGACGGCAAGAGTGCGCTCGCTCCCAGTTCCCCACGCTGCATGGAAATGGTCAGCTTCCTGGACTGGCCGCCAATATGTGCGAGTGGGGCAGATCCCGAGCAGCGTGTCAAAGCTGCGCCCGGGATGGCGTGCGCCCTTCGCTGCCCAAGGCCAAGGAGGTATTTTCCACGTGTAATGGACAGTTCGGCACTTGGGTTCGCGGAGGGGCTATACTGCAAACAGCGCCCAGCCCCGCCGGCACCCACAATGAGTCCCGAGCTCAGATCATGACGGCTGAGTGTTTGCGAGAACGATGGTACCGTACGGGCTTCGCAAAACGCCTTCCCAGCTCCCGGCTCGCCCTTTCGCCAGCCCTCCAAGCGTCCAGGCCGCCCCATATCCGTGCCGCAACCCCAGAGCGTCACTGACCCGCGAGCCATAACGCCCGCCCAGATACTCACCGACCTTCCGTCAATATTGAAACACCGGATGTGGACATCGGAGTATCGAAATATCGGATACAAATATCGGAATATCGCCGATATTCCATCAAATCGATGACGGAAGGGCGTCGACGGACAGAGAGTGATCGTGCGACAGACCTGGGGCCACACAGCCCCCCCAAGCACCGGAATCTTGCCCCCTTTGGCGCTGGATCTCCGGTGGCGTGCCGGGCGTCAGTACATTAGCGCCACGTCAGGTCGACTACGCATGCATGTCTGCCAGGCAGCGCCGCCTATCCTGTAGCGGGACTGGACGCGGGGACGCGAAACGGTATGGCCAAGCCGCCGACACTGGCGGGCTGCGGCGGCGCCCAAACTGCGACCTCCTCGGCACAAAAAGGCCAAAGGGTCACCATGGCAATGGCGGGCAATGCGACTTAGCAGAGCGAACGGCGGAAGCAATACCATGAGTGTGTGCAGGGGGCGATCTGGACGGCCTGACCCATTCCCAGCGCCTGGCCGTCCACGTGGCCGTGGCCGAAAACGCACTGCAGATCGGCGGGCAGGCAATTGCGCACATTGGGGGCGATCGAATGGCGGCGTTGAGGCCGCCTGAGATCTTCCCATGGCCCCAAAGGCAGGATGGATCCCGGAATCAATTGGGAGGCGCCGAGCGGCGGTGCGGCCTGGGCGCCCACCTGGCTCGGGACCGTACGCGGAGATCTGGCACACGCAGAGCGTGGCCACCAACAGCGCCATCACGCCACTCGCCATCCTGGCCATGGCTGCCCTACTCAGCGGCGGCGTGGGAGAAAACGGGGACGGGCTGCAGCCGCCTGAGGGGCCCTTGAGGGGGAGCGGCCGACCCTTGGCTTGGAGACGCGGAGGGTGTCCCGGTGAGGTGGCAGCGCGGCATTTATACCCGCCCTGGGGGCTTGCCCAGCCGCCGGGCGCATCCCCGGGTGCTGACGCATGGGCCTACTACGGCTAGGAGCGACGGGCGCGGTCCCAGGGTGTGCGCTGTCAAATCCTCGATGCCCTGGCGGGGCGCACCGGCGTGGGGGGCGGCGCGTGGGGCTCTCACTCTTGTGAGACATGGGGCGGCGGTACGGTGGTGGGGGGGGCCGAAGGGGCGCGCGTGCAGCGGCGCGGCGAGGGATCGGCCGGCCGTCTCGGAGAATATCGCGTCTTAATGACATGGTAACATGGTGTTGTTCGCCTGACAGGCCTACAACATCAAACGCCAAAACCCAATTACTCAATTCTAGTAACTGCAATCCAAACAAACGGCGCTTTTTGCCCGCAATCCTGGCCGGTTTGCGGTTATTAAATTAAGTAAATGGTCTCTGGGGTTTGGGGCTGGGCGTGTGTGCAACTCGGCCCGCCAGGAAGTGTTTTGCGTAGTTGGATGCCCTGTTGTAGTAGGTGGCGACCGTGGTGTGTGTTGGCACGCCGATGTCAGTGTCATCTCGTGTCGTTGGGGCGTGGCGGAAGTTGCGGATTGCGGTGGAAGTGCATGGGTGTCGACCCGCGGGATGTGACGCCTCGGTGGCGGTGCCCGTCATGTTGACGCGCAGGCTGTTCGTTTTCGGGGCCGCTGATAGGCCGTTGGGCGCTGTTGCATCAGACGCGGTGACACGCTGCGCCAGCTATTGTAGAATATTCAAACCTTCCGCATCAGAAAATTTCACCGTTACGCTTTTGTTCCGCATTTTTGTTTTCAGAGCGTTATTTTACTGCAGCTGAACAATCCAGAGCTCAGGGAAGACACCATGTCGATTTTGGTACGCTTAGCGCCAAATTGACGCCAGAGGAGGGGTGGGTGGGTGGGTGGGTGGGATCCAGACCTGACGCTCAGAGATTATGTTATTGCCACAAACTCGACGTAAGGAAAGAACGTGCCCAAAAAACGCCACTGATAGGCAGGAAACACCCCACGATTTCTTCCTAAACCTTCTGCAAGTGTTCGATCACCAAAGAAGGCAGTAGAATGGCTTAGAATAGATCAATTTGCAGCCATTGAGGCTGCCCGCCTCGCCTATAATGGCACTTAGAATCCTATTTTTCAACAACTGAAATCAGCGCGAATTTGGTTGTGTTTTTGTCCTAAAAAACACTTACAAGTTGCACACCACCGTCCGGCAATGCTGCTGAGTCATCCTTACATCGACATAAGGATTGACGCTAAGGAGGGGGGGAGGGGGGTACTGAGCATAGCGTCAAATTGAGGCTAAGCGCACCAAAATCGACATAGTGTCTTCCCTTATGGACCCGCTCTGGCGACCTTTGTAACTTTGGGATGGAAGTTCGTTGCTCGCCCATCGTCTTGTTGCCTTGTGGATCGCCGAAGTGGTAAAGACTGTCTTCCTGCATAGGTGGATTTCGTTGCATCCATGCTGTCCCAGTGACCGCTCCGCGTGATCAATTGATTTGTATCACTGCGCTCAACAGGGCATCTGGTTTCTGTTTCGCTTCCTTCTGGTGGATATTTTCCTTTGAATCGTTGCGTGTCAGGGATTCTCGGCTTGCTTTCTGAATCATATTTGCCCAAACCCTGCCTTCAAGCCGAATTCCGCTGATCGCATCTGTCCAACGAAAGCAAAATGCCACCCAGTTCCGTACAAGTTTACAAATACAAATGAACAAAACACTTTATGTGCCAAACACCAAACATACATCAGTGCAACAATGCGCCTTCGCCTGCCGCCTGTCCAACCGCCAATACTGAATCAGAGGGGCGTCAAAACACCAACCCCATTCCTCCCCCATTCCTCAAAGGCTCAATGTGGCCGTTTTTCTGCATAGTTTCGCAGCACATGGTCGCCGTTCTAGACAACGATCCGTGGTGCTGAAGTCCCGCCTTGGAGGCGCATCCACATGGATGCTCGAAAATTGCGCAATTTTGAAGTGAGTTTTCGGGAGAGTCTTCTTTTAGCAGGCCCCAATTAGTGGCAGCGCATCCTCGCCATTTTCAGTGGTTTCGGGGAACGTGTTTCTGGCACCACGCCCGCAACCACCGACCACCCCCCTTTCACGTCACGTCAGTTTCGCTCCCTCTTCCCTTCACACCTTTCTCTCCCCATGCCTCCCGGCCTCCCGCCCGCGGCCTCCTCGCCTTTCCACCTTGCCACTGGGGCGGCCTCTGGCCGCGGCGGCCGCAGCTCGTCGACATGGCAGAGGACGTCGCCCCGCTGCACAGCCTGTCGATCGTGGTGCCGGCCTTGGTGAGTCCGCGGGGTGAATGTGGAGAGGAGGGGGGTATGTGGAGAGGAGGGGGACATCAGGAGGGGGCGGGGGCATGGGCGCGAACGGCAAAAACCCGGGCTGGAAACTCGACGCCCTTGCGCTGCGGGTTGCTGGGCGTGTCTTTGTTTTCGGCGCGGGGCTGATTTCTCGGCGTTGGTTCTTCGATTCAGGGATTGGGATGGGCCGGAGAAATGGGGGGGAGGGGTGTGCGGCGGGTCGATTGTGCCACGCAGCACCGTTGGGACCGGTTTAAGAGTGGTTCAGCTGCATGAGCGGCAGGACATTTGTCCAGTGCTGCATAGCGCGTGTTGGAGGCTTGTTCCATGGCGTTGCAGAACAGCGCGGTGTGCGATGCGAGCGGCCCATTTCAACATGGAATTGAATTGGTCTGGGCAGAGGCCCCCCCTTGGTTCCTCATGTAGCAACATCAAGCGAAGTCAAGAGTCGTACCCTGCACTCTTTCGCCTTGGAAGAGAATGGGTTTGCTGCCAGAGCGCCGATTTTGGATGTGTACTTGTCTATCAATGCCGTCACGGTGCAAGGGCCCCGCTCTGCCTTTGAAAGGCAAACTTACCTAAAGCATTTAGACAGAGCACTTTGTGGATGTGATCGCGCACTGTTGCCCATCCCTCCATGTGCATCGCCTCCCATGCCCATTGCAGGTTTCAACTGAGATCGTGTTCTGTCTTGTCATTGGCAGAATGAAGAGGTGAACATCGGATACACGATTCAAAGGTGCTGGTCCCACTGGACCACTGCTGTTGAGCTTCAGTTTCATCATTTCACAGACCATGATTTTGGACACTCGCAGCGACTCAAATTTTTGCCCTTGTGACCAATTGCTGAGACCACCTTGATTAACTTTTTTCAACTTGACGTGGCAAATTTACGCAAACGAAACAGGTTTGGGGCATAACAGTGTAGTGCACCTGTGCATGACATGATAGGGCTTGCCTTTTCATTCTACGACAAGTTTGTAGTCAATGGAATTGAGCACCTGTCCATGACATTCAAAGACACGTTCAGGCAAAACTGAAATTGCTGTGCAAATTCAAGGTAGAACAGGTGTGGGATTTGTTGTGTGCAAATGAAACTAGTCTATGGGAAACTGCCATCAAATGTGGCCCAGCAGCGAGGTAGTGTATGGCATAACATGAAGGAAGCATCAGTCTAAAGTTTGTTGCTGAACATCCCCAGGCCTTGCACTCTTGTAGCCTATTCTGGAGCCCCAAGGCTGCTGAAATCCTGGCATGTTGTGTTGCAACCCCTGCATTTGTGGTTGCGGCCTGCGTAGGGTGCATTAATTTGAAGCGCACAAACAAGTAGTGTTGCACGATTGCTTCTGGATGAGATGATGCGATTGGGGTTGGGGGGCAGTAAATAATACACCCTTGGGAGATAAGACTATATTCCCACTGTACCTTGCTTGTGTAGTTTAGCCTGTGGCCTGAGCATCCACTGGATACGGCGATGTTCTCAACAAAGTCACATGACAGCTGCCCATTTGCTTTGTGTTGTTGCGATTTGCAGCAGACAATGCTTTGCACGATTGCGTGCCTCTGTCCCAAGCCAGCAGATCTTCAATGTATCCACACCCTGAAATTATCCACTCTACATCGTGCCAGTATTGTCCACATTCAAGCACTGAAGCATTCCACAAATCTTTGCAACAGTGCCATTTATATTGACTCTTGGTTGTCACAATTGCTGGTATTACCTTGCACTTCCCTTTTGTCTATGTTCCCATCCACGCCTTGAAGAACTGCCAGAGTGCAGAAATGAAACTGTGCTGGCATCCAGCAGAACATTCATGTGCACATCCTCTGCCAGATGTTCATTTCGGCCTGTGTGTGCTTGTTGGGACTAAGCCGTAAAATTCTCTTTGATTGATATTATCAAGCATAATTTCAGCAATCTGCTGCATCAGAACAGCAGCACAGCGATGAACTGCGCAGTGCAAAGAACTCTCGTTGTCTTTCCACTTCTAAGTATCTACTCATGTTGCCTTGTCTTTATGGCTTCATGCTGCATGTTCAGCCTACGAGACCATGGTCTGGACACCGATCTTGAGATCATAGTAGTGGACGGCAGCAGCTCTGACAACACTGTCAAGGTGGCCAAGGGGATGGGAGCGAAGGTGCGCTATTGGGTCCTGGCAAGACTGGCATGGAAAATGGCCATGCAGCTCCTGGGCCGGATTGATACTGTCTGTGTTCATGGAACGCTGCATTGGACGCAACCATGTTGAGTTTGCTGAATGGAACCCAAATCTGATGGATGCAGTACTGCCTGAATATGCAAAAATCATGCCCTCTTGCAGGTTCCATGCAAGCACAATTCAAGGTACGATCACCTGTCCTGAACATCTGCAGCTCAACTTCCACATATATGCCTGGGGTAGAATACAGCCGATGGCCCATGGTACCCCCATACAGTCAATAAGGGTGGTCAATATCGGTCAAGTGGGCCAGCACAGTTATCGATAATTTCAGTACATTGCCACAGGCAGTTTCGATGCCCACTCGCTGCCACAATGG